AAAAATAAGAATTGATGGCATAGACACCCAAACCATCATAGACGAAGTTGATGAAGATATACATTTGCTTATTCCAACGCATCATCAAAAAGGAATTCATGAAACGTTACAAGTTGAAAATGATAATGATGATGATTTTGGAACGAAACGTTATGTTGAAAATTATGAAAGTGATGACTTGACAGATTCTTCAACTTTAGAGAATTCCGTGTCATTGAAAGAGATCACCCAAATACAGTCATTAAGTTTTGGAGATATAGGAAGTGTCAGTCACATAGATCATTTGTTATCAGTTTATCCTGAACATTATCAAAATCTTCCAACCATTAATGTTACCCCGTCATCACCACAATTTCAAGAAAATGTCATGATAATGATCCAGGATACTGATGCTTGTGCTGCAAATGGTGATGATGACGATATCGATGAATATTATAGACACGTTTGACACAAAACAATATAAAACATCCAACTTAGCATTGCATTTTTCACACATTATAAATATTGCATTTTCACGTCCATATGTCCATATTTTTTTAATACTATTCAATATATTCTTTGCATTTCATTCATTTGTATTTTACCCAATCAAACAAATTACCCTCATTCTATATTGCATCTTTTTTGTATATAAAAAGTTTTATGTAAGTTTAATTACATTCCTCACGTATATATATATATATATATATATATATGTACGTATGATATATATTCTTATAGAGATTTGTGAAAAAAATTAAATAGATGGTTTTGAAAGTTTCTAATTGTACCTAATCTTAGAATCTTGTAATAATTTGAAAGAAAAAAAAAATTGCTTATATTGTCTTTTTTTTTTTTAATATATTATTGTTATTCATGCGAAAAAAAAAAATTTTTTAATTTCTAGATAAGTTCAGATTAAATAAACTTACAAAGCTTGTTAATATTTATGATAAAATGTTTTTATTGGTAAAGAAATATTATGTGATACTGTGAATTATATGATCAACACGTGATTTTCTATCTCAAAGTTATAAATGGAATAAATCAAAATTCAAGTCTATTCGTCATTTGTTTATCAAGAAAAAAGAATTCGCGATGGATATACTTGGCCTCGATCTTAAAGCACCGGGTACACCATATAAGGAATTCGTACTAGCCTTTTCTTGGGCCGTTTACATTTTTGAACAATATTTAGGGTATTAATCCCAGTATGACTGCCTCTTTACGATAGATCTATTGTTTCGAGATTTCCATTTAGATTCTCACCTGTTTTTAACATTAAAGTGTCCGTCAATATCGGAAACTTCGCGAACCAAATCCACCAAAATCTCTGCAAGATATTGAAGAAATTCGGGAGAAATTTCATAAAACACAAGAGTATGGCCTTGACAAGGCGAAGTTTGGGTTTGTGTCGGGTTTGTTTGGACAAGTACAAAGTACGTGGATAATCGTGTGGGATGTACTTCCATGGTTATGGAATCTCTCTGGAGAGTGGTTGACATATGCCGGGTACGGGACGGATTATGAGGTTTTTTTCTTTTTTTTTAAAAAAATTTCAATTTACATATATGAATGTCAGTATATAGTGTCTAAAATAATAATATTTTTTCTTAGATAACACAATCATTGATTTTCACCGTAACAATTACTACTATGTTATACTTCATATCCCTCCCTCTAAGTCTTTACTATACTTTTGTTATTGAAGAGCGTCATGGTTTTAACAAAATGACTTTAGGATTATTTGTTATGGACACGGTTAAGGGTTTTTTGATTACTGGGGTTATAGGTCTTCCAATTATAGCTTTAGGTTTACAAATCATCAAGTGGAGTGGTGACAATTTCTACTTTTATGTTTGGGTGTTTATGTAAGTACGAGACTTCCATATTTGCCAATTTAAAAATATTGACGTTAAGGGCTTAAACTAATTTATGTACATTTATTGTTTTTTAGGATAATTTTTAATTTCATACTACTTACCATTTACCCAACACTTATTCAACCTTTGTTCAATAAGGTTACACCACTTCCCGAAGGTGAACTTCGTGAACAAATTGAAGCATTAGCCGCCCGTATTAAATTCCCTCTTAAAAAATTACATGTAATAGATGGTAGTAAGAGATCTGGGCATTCTAATGCCTATTTTTATGGATTTTTCAAAAATAAGCAAATTGTTATATATGATACCTTAATAGAACAAGCGAATAATGAGGAAATATTGGCCGTTGTTGGTGGGTAATTTATATATTTTTTACATAGGCAAATATTTGCTGAATTCGTTCCTATTGACAATATAATTATTAAATATATCTTTTTTTAATAGGTCATGAATTAGGACATTGGAGTCTAAATCATTCCGTAAAAGTTCTTACCATTTATCAGATTCACAATTTATTCCTATTCTTTGTATTTTCTCAATTTATTAGCAACACAGTTCTTTATAGATCATTCGGGTTTGAAACACAGCCAACTTTGATTGGATTTATATTGTTTCAATTCATTTATGCTCCTATTGAGAATGTTGTTGCATTTTTGATGAACATATTAAGCAGAAAACATGAATTCGAAGCCGGTAACTTTAAATACTTTATTTCAAAAATTCTTTTTTTCTTATTTTGAATCAACATTTTTGACTTTTTTTTTTTTTTTCTTTTTCAGATGCTTTCGCAAAGAAATTGGGTTATGGAAAACAGCTTCGTACAGGATTAATCAAAATTCAAATAAAAAATTTAGGAAATATAAATAATGACGCGTGGTACTCAGCATATCATTTTTCACATCCACCTCTTCCAGAAAGATTAAATGCATTAGAAAAAATGGACTAAAGGTTGAGAAATTTAAATTCATCAAAAAAAAAAAAAAAAATCTTCATTAATCCCAAAGATCATAATTAAAGTCATTTAATTTTTTAATATACATGTTTTGATTTACTTAAATATAATTAAAAAACAAAGTTATAATTTGACAGTTCTTTATTTATAAAACACCCTTTGTACTGGGGACGTCATTTGTCCCAGTCCTCTCAATTGCTTGTCTTAATGCTCCAGCGAGAGCCTTAAAAGCAGATTCTGCCCTATAATAATGAATTACGTTAATTAAATGGAATAAGGAACAAATCATTTCATTATTTACCTGTGATGATCATTCTTTCCTTTTAAGACATCGACATGTAATGTAATTCCAGCAGATGTGGCAAAAGATGATAAGATGTGAGGGATCATTTCAGTTGAAAGTTCACCAATTTTTTCTCGTTTCAATTCCATATTAATGTCCGCAAACGGTCTTCCCGAAATGTCAACAACGGCGCGTGACAAAGCCTACGGAACGCCAAATGTTCATGCGTAAACAAATAAAAACGTAAAAGAAATTGTCATAATTTCCTCCCCCCAAAAAAATATCCTGAAAATGCATATCACCTCATCTAATGGAGCGTAAGCATAGCCAAACCTTTTTATGCCCCTTGGTTCGCCCAATGCCTGCTTGAATGCAAGTCCCAAAGCAATTGCTGTATCTTCTGCGGAATGATGGTCATCAATGTGCAAGTCACCTTTACATGTTAGTGATAGTGACCAACCCGAGTGCTTTGCGAGAGCATGATACATCTATTTCCTCATGTAAAAGAGCGATGATGGACTTTTATGAGAACTTGTCGTAAACTTTATAAAAAAAAAAAAAATGGAAAGTTCATCATAAAAAAAATTACATGATCTAAAAATCCTATGCCAGAATTGATTTCAATTGTTTGATTTCCCGCTGAATCCAAATGTATCATTACATTAATATCAGTTTCATTTGTTTTACGAGAAAAATTTGCCGTTCGCGTAATCGACATAATCAAAATGAATTAATTATATTATATGAAATTTTTTTTTTTTATTTCTATTTTAAATTTTTAATTTTTTTTTTTTGGACAATAAAAAAAAATTTTTTTTGAAAATTTTCTCGATAAATCCACAGCCACGTACAGCCCCGTATTCCATAATTGGATAAGTGTGAATTTATTGTTACAATATTGATCAAACAACCTTTTTGAGTTTAAAATATTGGTAACATTGTTTGTTGATTGATTGTTCGATAATAATGTTCAGCTATAAATTTTTCGAGAAATCAGACAAACGTTTTGTGTACCGTTATGCATGAGTACGGCGATTTTGCCGGAGTGAAATCCGGGATTATAAAAATAACCCATTTTCGTTCATTTTGTTCATTGAAAATTTTTTTTTGGTGGGAAATTCTAAACAATTATTTCATGATAAACCTTTGTCGGGGAGGGAAATATATATGTATATATATATATATATATATATAAAAACATTTAATCATTTTCATTTCAACAAAAGAAGAATTTTCAATGGTTACTGGACAATCATTTCCTTTTTCTTCGTAAAAGTCGGTTTTGTACGACCTTTGGACTTATAATTTCACTACTTTCAGATTTTTTGGTCGCGAGAACAAAAAAAAAAAAAGTTTCTCGTCACCGAATATTTAATTTATTTTCCTTTTTTTTTTTCTTTATTTCAGAAAAAAATTTTTTTTTTCTTCTTTACTCTGTTATTTATTATCTTATTTATTCCGTTTTTTTTTTTTGTTTATCGGTTTCTTTTTTCAAATGCTTTTCTTATAAACTATCATAATTTTGTTCTTTTTGTAAATTTTTAATTGAACTCATCTCGTAAATAAAAAAAACCATTGTATAAAACTAATAACATAATGACATCAGCAATTCCGGCTATTCCCGCACAGCCAAAGAGGGCTAAAAGGACAAAAACAAATTTGGCCACCGTATCGCTACCAAAGTGCAAATACGAGTTGCTGGATGAGGCCACCAGGGAAAGAAAAGAGGAGATGGCCCAAAAGGCTGCAGTAGAAGAGGTAAATGAAAAGCCTCATTTGACTTCCTTTTCGTCATGTCGGCGTTATCCAAACAAAAGACCACAGAATTAGTGATAATTATTTTCGCGAACTTAATTTGATAAAGATTGAGTTAATTACGTTTACAAGTGAAAATATTATAATTTTCATCAAATGACGAAATGTTATCACACGTGAAAACCATGTTCTATTAATGAATAATCACCTTGTATATCCTGTTTTGCTTCCTTCCCCTCACCCCCGTCTTACCTAATTATAGGCGAAGAAAAGTTATCCAGACACGAACACAAAGCCCGACATTTTTCTCTCTTCATCGTTTTTATCGGATGATAAGATTATCATCGTAAATTACCCGAAAAACAAGAAAGAGAAGAGGGAGAAGAGGGATAAAGATATCAACGACGCTTATAACGCTTTAAATGGCACGAAAAACGACGTTAGTTATATCATTTCATTTTACTATTCTTAATCATGTTACGATAAGAAAATTAGATTTTAATGATATTGATTATCCATCCAGAACTCAACACAAGATATGCCGCAAGGGGCAATTGATGCCCTTGAAAAACTACTTGGAAAGGTCCCTGATCAGCAAAAGACCCGGGGCTCAAATTACGGAAGATTGGCTCAAGACTTCACGTTCCCGTCAAAACAACAGTCCACAGCAGGGAAGTCAAAAGAAACAAATGAAGAAGAAACTGCAGCTTCATCCTCAAAATCTTATGAGGATGAAAGAGAAGCTGATCTCGAGGACCTCGACAAAAAAGAACGTGCACGTCGCCGAAAGAGCAACTTAAATGCTCTAGCGCCGTCTTTCACACCTTCCTTCGCCTCAAGCGGCTCATCAACGGATCAGAATAAGTCTGTTGATTCTGATTCGAGAATTGAGGTTGAAGATCGGAAGAAAAAGAACAAAAAGGAGAAGGTTCGCTAATTCTCATCATTTGTCTCCATTTTATTTTCCGTCGACAATTAAAAAGGAAATGATTTGCTAACATTGCTGCTCATTTCAAATAAAATAACCTAGGCGGTGATAGATGTAAATGGTGATATTGAATCACCGACTTATCAAAGAAAACCAAAAAAATCGAGCCAACAGATTCTACCATCTGAGCTTTCAGCAATTGACACCACAACAGGTTCGTACGGTAGTTACGTCACAAATTCTTTCGAACCGGCTTTCTTCATGCCGGCTGCACCACCTACGCCCTTCCCGGTTCAATTTGTCGAAAATAGTCCTCCAAACTGGGAAGAGTTCCAGAAAAATTTATCAACCGAAGTGGTTAGCAGAGTTGAGATGCAAGTTCAGAAGCATATTGAGAAGCTTGTTTCTGAAGTTAGAACAACATTGGTTGAAACTAGGCCCGAATATACTAATAGTAGTTCGTCCGTATCGGACAAAGGAAAGGATGATACTGTAAGACTATTTGAAGAAACTGAAAGAAAGAACGAAGAAAATAGATTCAATAAGATGCAAGAAGAGCTTTTACAAGAATTGCAAAATTATCAACATGATATTCTTTCTTCTCATGAAGAATTAATGTTAAGGCATGAAGAAGTGCAAACACGACACTTTCAACTTCAAGCGGAAGTTCAATCAACAAGTGTTGTTCAACGACGTCATGTAGAACTTCAAAACATGCTCCAAAAAGAGCTTAGTCAGCTTGACGAATTAAAGACCCGTCTGCAAGAGATGCAGAGTGAACATCGAAAGATGCAAGATCGTCAACAGCAACTTCATGATGAGATGACAGATTCACAAACGTTACGTCGTCGTCTCGGCGAATTCGATGGCGAAATTGCACAACTTCGTTTTAAGAATAATCAGTTGACTGAAGAAAATACCTTACTTAGAAATGAAATCGCCAAACTTTCTGAAGAAAGCAAAGTGAAAGAGCGCAAGCAAGATACTTTTATTTTAGAATTACAAAACCGTGAGCGGCAATTGCAGTCTGAAAACATTATACTCAAAAACAAGTTTTCAAATAACGAAAGTGAACTCAATCTTGTTCGAAACAAAAATAAACAAGTTGAATTGTCGTTAGAAGAGCAGATACAAAAATTTCGTACCTTACAGAATGAAAACCAAAAGCTTTTTGAAGAGAATACTGCCACAAAAAATAGCCATCAGTCCAACATCAGTGAACTTAAATCTAAACTTCGGCAAGCAGAAAATGAACTAGCCGAATCTCGTAGAAAGTACGAGTTCGATATTAATACTTGGAAAAGTAATGAGGAAAACTTGCGAGCAGAATTACAAGATACTGCGCGCCAGCTTGATGACGTGCGTGATTATCATTCGTTGAAAAAAGTTCAAGAAAAGCTTGAAAGTGAGAGGAATGAACTGCTAAGGATAAACCGCGAACTTCAAACTCAACGTGAACAAGATTCGATTCAGATTAGGAACATGAACAATGAAATTGAAAAACTGAATAAGGAATGTAATGAAATGCAGCTAGCTCGTAATCTTGAAAACGAGACAATTCAGACAATCCAAAACGAACTCGCTGCTCATCGTACTTGTAAGAAGTCTTTAGAAAATAGAGTCAGTGAATTAAGTAAAGTTCGCCAGGAGCTAGAAAAAGAAGTTGCGGAACTTGTTGAGTTACGTCCTCGTATTAAGGAATTGGAGAAACAAGCCTCTGACCTTGAACGTTCCTGTTTGAAAATGAAGGAGTTAGAAACTCACTCAGTTGAACTGGATCATTATCGACGTCGTACTCATGAATTAGAAACAGAGATTAAAAACCTTCGTCAACACGGTAGAGATTCCGAGAATCATGCAAACCAAATTGAGAATTTACAGCAAATGTGTCATGATCTCGAAGAAAAGTTTGACAATACAAATTCTGAGGTTATTCAATTACGACACAATAATAGTGAATTGAAAAAAGAAGCGTCCGCAAAAGCCGAGGAAGTTAAACTACGTACTTCGGAATTGAATCAAGCTCGTGGAATAAACCAGAGTTTGCAAAATAGGACAATTGAAATTGTCAACGAATTATCAGATTTAAGGATGCGATTGCGTGAGATCGAAGCTGAAAAGAATCGATTACAGATGAATGCTGCTAGTACATCAACAATTTCATATAATTCTCCCATGCATACTCCTCGTATTACGAATAGTGACAACATCTTGGATGAGCGTCGTATTTCCCGAGATCAAATGCTTTACAGCAACCCATCAATTCCAAATAATTTAAGTAATTTCGAATCGTCCAACTATAATCGTATCAAGCCACAAAACACTCCAAACACTTATTCACAACAAACATTCAGTCCTCTTAATAATAACATGTCTTCACAAAGTTTACAAAGTTCACAGCCTATGCAAATAATGACATCAGGCATTAACCTTCAACATTCACAAGCGTCTCAATATTCTCCTAATCATTTTTCATCTACTAATCATCTTCAATACAATCAACCACCACAAGAAGTTCAATCAGTCGTACCACTTCAACAATTTTCTCACATACCACCAGTTGTTCAATTGCCACACTCTCACCATCTACTTCATTCTGCGCAACAACAAAAGATGACACAACAGATGCAGACTCATTCTCAGCTTCCACCATTAGTAACAATGCAGTCGTATTCAACAAATGTATCGGCCCTTCCTTCACCAACGACATCACAACAAGGTTCTCAGTCACATCCAACGCAACAAAAAAATGGTAAAGCGCACAGCCGCAATAGCTCAAACAACCTTGGAAATAATCATCCTAAACAAAGTAAGCAAAAGAGTAACAGGAAGAAACAAAAGAATGCGTCCGGTAGCCAGCACAAAGGTGTTAATGATACTGTTGCAAATAATGCAAATAATGCCAATAATCCTCAAACAAATGCCACAGATTCCAATGCTTTAAGAAATCCATGGAATAAATCTGAATTGAACAATGGTATCTGGTGGGAACATAACAAAACTGATTAGTATTTTATCAATTAATTATAATAATATGTAAGTTAGTTAAGGTGATGGTAATTATCACCAATTAATTTATTTTTCTTTCTGTGAAATAATGAAATATATATGTGTATTTTTATATATATATAATCTAGATATTTTTAAATGATAACGTGTAAAAATTTGTATTGTAAGTCATCATTGGAATAAATATAATTTTTATAAATTTAATAAATAACCAGGTTTTATCCTTTAAATAAAGTCGTATTTAAAATGTTTTTTTGTAAATTGGGCAGAATTATGATAATCCTGGCCGATATGACAAAACGATCGTCCGTAAAATATCTCGGGATTTTTTTTTTTTTTTTTTTTTTTTTTT